AATGTAGTGATTCAGGACTGTAGTGTTTCCTCTCGGAGTCTCTCTTAGAGGTTTTCCTATTGTTTTTGCTCTAAGCAGAGTCCCCACATTCACACTCCCCCAACCCCGTCCACAGCACAATCAATATTAACTCATTCGTAACAGAGGAGCAGCCTCTTTTCCAATCACAGTTCTGCTGACTTGTTTGGGATTGGTTTGGGTTGAGTCACTAAGAGACATATTAGATTAAGGCACTGGTCTTTTTAATAATAATATAGAATCTCCACACCTCTCAAATAGACCTCAAGTTTAGGAGTCATTTATTTTCATTACCCTCTCTTCATGGGAAAAATTGAGGACCCTGTTTATTTATTTAGAACAACAATAAGCTGAATCACTCTTGCTATTTAACATCTGACTTTTTAGAAAATATTCTTTGTTGTGCCTGAAGGCAATGCTGCAAAGGAAACAACCATTTTAAAAATAGGAAAGATAAATTAAATAATACCAATTTACAAACAAATTTAAAATCAAAACAACCCCCGCTACACTCTCTTCTTGGTCAGCTCTGCCTCAGCCTAAGAGATCAGTAGGTAAACGTTTCGTTACCTCTGTTTGCACACATGGATCATCAGGTGAGAGGGTGGGTGTTTGGGAGGAGTTGGGGAGAGGGGTGAAACAATATTTTTGCACCAAATAACTCGGACTCTCCAGTTTGTAGTTAGTTTATAATAAGTTTGTGATCCATGGATCTTTGTAACTTAAGGAACCATAATGACAATTCCAAAGGCTACATTAATTCCTTTTTAAAATAAAAGAAGGAGGGTCTGCTGAGAGTGGATGTTAGGAACTAAGCTATTTCCATTACCCTATTTTAAGTAAATCGCTAGCTAGAAGGCCCATGTACCAGCTACTACTAACTCCCAACTTCAGAAAGTCATTTGCAATGAGCTTTCCATACCTCTTTGGGTGGGAAATGTACTATTGCTTCTCTTCTTAGCGAGGCTATCAAGAAACACACTTCAAAAAATTCCCGTGGGACACATAATCATTCTTTCAAAATAGCAATTTGGCTGTAGCAGCCTTCTTCCCATTCAGCTAAGCAAGTGTGTGAATGGTAATGGAGACAGCTAATGCCTTTTGGTTTTGCTGTGGGCAGGGGAATCTTACCATCATATGTAATTAGTAAGAACTACAAGAAAAAGACAATTGTTATAGAAGTCACACTGAAAATACTCTAACAAGTAGTCTAAGCAACATTCATTGAGCTCCTTTGGGGGTGGGGAAAGGGGGGTAATTTTCTGGTGTTAAGAATGTCATAAGATTGCCAAGGTAGCAAATGAGTGGGACTTTACAAAGGCCTTTGGAAGGAGAGGGGGCAATCCCACGAGAAAATGACAGGTGATGTTTTATTTCCATGGTCCTTTTTTACTTGCCAGTTCTTTCTTCTCAGTAACACAACTGATATTCCCCTTCCCCCAACAACGACGACAATAAAATAAATTTTTCAAAGATTCTCAATATGAGTCATGGAATTACCCGCTGTGGACCAGGAAGTTCTCTTCAGGCTCTCACCTGCTAAACTATGGCAGAAGTTTGGAACCTTTTATTGTGCAAAGGTTTCAAAAATCCACAGCACAGCTCTCCTCCTGCTGGGCTATGAATGGGGAGACAAGGGACCAGTACCAGTGAAGGACATCCGGAAGAGGAAGTGGATGAAGGCTCTGCCACTGGCCAAAATCGGGTTGCACCTCTTCTCCCATGCTCCCCATACAAGCCCCTACAATGACATTCTCCTGGAAGCCCATTTTCATTGCTGCCTCCAGGCCTTTGCTCTCCTGTTTGTCTGGGACTACCTGGGAGCCCTTCTTCTAAACCCATCCTAGTCTGATTTGAACTCATTTTTCAAGGACCCACCTCTTCCCGGTTTATAGGCCATTTTCTCTAATTTCAGCCCACACTGCACTCTCCTTTCTCTGAATTCTTGTAGCACTTATAATCTCTCTATAATTATAATAACAACAATATTTTAGTTATTTATCAAGTACTCACTAAATGTCAGGTCCTATGCTAAGTAGTTTACATTATCTTTTATTTAATTTTCACAGCTATCCCAACCCATGTTACATTTGAGAAAACCATGGTCATGTAGCTAGTAAGTGGCAGCATGGGATTTGAACCCAGGTCCATCACTGGTAAAGCCTGTGTCCTTCCCCGTGGTCCGTATTTCATTTTTTGGGCTACCTCACAATATACTTGCACTGCATCCTTTTTATATATTTTATATTTCATTCCATGTGCTTGTGCCTCATCTTCACAACAGAATTTATGCCTCTGATGAATGGGGTTACTTATTAGATGTGTGTTTACTGTCCATTTTGTCAAGCATGGGATCAAGCATTTAGTAGGTGCCTGATATTTGTGACTGGATATAGCATGAATAGACATGCATCATTCTTCAAAGCTCTCAACGGGCTTTATAAGAACAATCACACCAGACGATGGTGCATGGAGGAGGGGAGCAGTGTAGTGGTCGCATGTAAAAAGGGTCCCTGAATAGCCAATAAACCATCTTACTCAGGTTCACTGTGATCCCCTTAACCTCTCAGAAATAGGCAAGGCCATGTGAAGCCTGGCACAGATAGAGTATCAGAGAAATCCCAAGAGATGCAGCACCCCTGCCACAAAAGCAGTGTGGCTGTGGCAATCATTGTTCCTGAAGCTTCTCTGAGGATCCAAGATCACTTCAGCCAATCAGCTCCAGGATAGAAAGAACTTCAGGGTTTTTCTGGGCTTCCTTGCCAAGCTTTAAATAGCTTAGTTACATCATTGAGAACCAGTGCCAAATGAAAGTCTTTCTGATTGACCTGCTATTAGGAGGCCACTGCATTATAAACCATCAAACTTTAGCCATAAAATAATTTCAAATGCAGTGTCAAGAGAAGAGTTCCAATATGTAATAAATAAAACTTAGAAGATGTGTAAAAATTAAAGGGTGGGTCAACTGGTTCAAATGGCATACAAATTTAATGTGAGTGTCACAGTCTAATGGAAAAAACAGCATCTCAGGATCCAAGGGGGTTCACATCAGTTTCAGCTTTGCCCTTCATGTAACCTCAGCCATGCTACTTCATCTTACTGTGCCTCAGTCTCCTCAGCTGCATAACAAAGACTGCGAATTCATTGATTCTCAAATTACATGCTAGACATCATCTGAGGTTCACATGACGGCATAAGCTTCGTTTCCCAAACCTCATGTAAATACACACCATATGTTTCTAAAAAGTTCTCTGTATACACACCTCTATTACAAAAGTATATCACTTAGCAAGTTCTGTCAAGGTAACGAGCCCCATTTTAAAGAAAAAGAAAGGGAGGGAAGAATCATGTTCAGGGTCACAGAAAATAAGGCCAGAAACACACAGAAACAGGTTCCAGATATGCAATCTGCTGCTTATCCATGGAGCCATGCTACTTTCCTTTAAGAAGAGAGCACTTAAAAGAATAAGGTTCTACCTCTATTCTCATCAAGGAGAGCAACACCTTTGTAATGACTGCTCAAGTGACTTGAGAAAAATACTTTCTTATCACAATTTCCATGTATATTCAAAATTACCATAATTCCCATGTCAATTCAAAATTAGAAAAAATATTAACACCTTTTCTTAACTGTACAGATGCCAGGGGAACAGAGTCCAAGACTCATTGTAGAGGGAAAAAACCCAAAGTTCTCACATAATCTCCATCCCCAGCCCACTTGGCCAGAGTTTCCTTTTTAAATTCTTATGTCTCTATCTCTCACGGGTCTCCTCTTCCTCTTTTCCTCTTGTCACACTATCTGCTATCTTTCCTGGCCACCTCTAAAAGCCAACACCCTCATCCTTTCCCCTTTGTTTGCTTGTTGCATCTACCTGTTAAGGGGCTCAGAAACAAGAGGCCAAAGCCTGTTAAAATCAGAAATAAAGCTACATAACTAGAGAAGACCTGAGCTGCCTCCCTGAGAGAAGCACACAAGTGTGACATCTGCTAGTTGCTAAGTCCGTGTCTGTCACAGACAGTGGTAGAGGTCTCTCTTTCAGAGTAAAGAAGCCTAGCTGGATTTAGAAAGCAGCATCATTTGGGCTCTTGACTTTGGGAGAAGGAGTCCCTCTGATATGACACACCAGTTAATTCTTATTCCACAAAAACTGTAACCATAGCACAGTTAAAGCACGATAGTGGGAACAGGTAATGAATAGGGTCACTTTCCTGAGTGACATCTCCACTAAGATCTTTCATCATATCAGCCATCTGTGACCCAGCCAAGCAGCATTTACCAGGTCAGTCCTATATAAGAAATAATAGGAGGTGGGGATGGGCATTTGAGCTTGGCAAAGTTGTAATTCAATCTTTTGGACTTTGAACATAAATGGGACAAAGTCCTACAGAGACCACAATGGGTGTTAGGGAATAAAATGGCACCTTTCTCAAAGAAACAGCTAGAAAGGAAGCATCCCAAGCTACGTCCTGAAAGACTCTACCCTCTGGGACTAAATTACAGTCATCAGAACCTTTATCTTAGAAGCAAATTGTTCATTGTACTTACTCTACGAGGACCCTCATTGGTATCTGTTTCTCAACTTCACCCATGAGTTACTCCCTTCAGGAAGGCTTCCATACACTCCTTCCCACCTTGTACTAGATGCCTCTCTTCTGATGCACAACACCCTGTCACACTTCTGACCAACTTACACACACACACTGTACTATAATTGTATGCTTTTCTTCATCTGTAGGCTCCAGGTCCAGTAGGACAAGGCCTGCATCTTTTGGCTCATAACTTTAGCACCCTTATATGTGCTTTGTGCATAGTACATGTTCACTATATGTTTGAATGAATGAGTACATGAATCTTTGTATCTTCTATAATACAGTTCTCCTTCCACCAAAGCATTCATCTTGGTACCTTCCCATCATGAGGCCAGGGTTGGGCTTTGTGACATCACTCTAAGATAAGATAAAAGCACAAGAATAGGTTGTACTTAGCAGAGGCAAAACAAGCTGTCCTCAAGCAGGGTGTGACACAGGTTTCTTCTTGTCTTGAGGATGAGTGAAGAAGCCCACAGCCACATGGGTATTTTCGCAGCTTCCCGTGGGGGAAAGACTGACCCTGGATAGGTAGGTGATACATGACCTTGGAAACACATGGTTTCATTGTGGCCAGGGCCTAAAAGAAACAGGACTGGGCCTTGTGGCAGGTCTGGCCTCCAAAGCCTGGAAGGATGAGGTTGGTGCTCCATGCTGTGGCCCAGAGAACTGTGTGAGTTGTTTCTCGAACACATAGTGACATGTCCATGCCCTAGACACCAGCACAAGAATTCAAGCCCTGTACAGTGGAGCTCTCTTATACCTTTCCTGGGCAACTAATTCAATTATCAGGAGAAGGGGAAAAAAAACAAAAAAGGAACAGCTGGCATTTTCCATTGAAGGTTCTGAATAAAACCAGAAATACTTCGTGCTTTTGGGATTGGGAGGTGGAGTAATGTGAGCTGCCAAGCTGCAACGTGTTCTTAAACAAACAGGCTGTGCAACCACAGGAAAAGCCATCTAGGAAGGTATATTTTTATTAGTCCTTCTTTCAAAGACTTACAAGATTTTAAAAGAACCACATGAATTCTGTTTTTAACTTGCATAAAAGCCTGAAGTTAATTTTTATGAGCAGATTTCAAATCCCTGAAAAACAGGTTTGGTAATATCTCTGACAGGGCTTGAACTGCGAGGTTTAAGGAGGCCTCAGGAAAAAAAAAAAAAAAAGACAGTTTAATGTCCTCTGTACGTTTTCACTGAAAAGCTGTGTCACATTTTGGTAAATAATATTTAAAGGACAACAAATCTTGCTTAACAACACTCCATGGAAAAAGCCGGCAATGAATGACTTCTACTGACTTTTAATGGTTGGGTGCAAATCATCAAAGCTAAGGCTAATGACTTTCAGAAAACTATGAGTTTTCTTGGTTTCTGATAAGTGATGTTGAAAGAATAGTCCATAAAACAGACCACCAACTCCCACCTCTCTCCCATCCCTAAAATGCCTCATCCAGTCAGTTTCTACTTATAGTTCTCAAGTAAGCAGAAGACATGAGAAGGTCACTGCACTCCCTGTGCATCTGCTGAGCCCTGACTTGATCTATGTCCACACGTGTAAGCTAATTAGAGCAAACATATTTAAATTTTTACTTTCTTTTTTTTTTTTTTTGAGATGGCGTTTCACTTTGTCGCCCAGGTGGGAGTGCAATGGTACAATTTTGGCTCACTGCAACCTCCGCTTACTGGGTTCAAGCAATTCTCCTGCCTCAGCCTCCCCAGTAGCTGGGATTATAGGCATGTGCCACCACACCCAACTGATTTTTATATTTTTAGTAGAGACGAGGTTTTGCCATGTTGGTCAGGCTGGTCTTGAACTCCTGACCTTAGGTGATCCACCCTCCTTGGCCTCCCAAAGTTCTGGGATTACAGGCGGGAGCCACTGTGCCCGGCCTTAAATTTTTTTTTTTCTAATTCAGCCATATAATTGATTAGTATCCTTAAAGTCAATTTGGTTAACTAATAGTAATTTTCCTTAATAATTTACAGTTTATTGAAATTATTGATATGAATCAATAATACTTCTGACAGGTTAATGTCTGTATAAGCACAACATAAAGCTACTAGTCCTAGAAACTGAAGGCAGACAATTTTTTCTCTCACTTTTTCTTTAGCCTCAACCCAAATAGAATGGAAGGTCAAAATGTGGCAATGTCTTGGTCACTTTGGAAGAGCCAACCCAGCAGACATAATATTTCCGCATGTCACATGACCAAGATAAATAGCAGGTCAGGAAGCCAGGACCAGAACCCAGCAGAGAGCTGTGCTCAAGAGGTGGAAATGAGAGCACAGAGTCAGGGCACTGTGTCTATGTCTTGCCACTAGACCCCAGCAGCAGGGGGTCAGGAAATGACCTGGGCTTGGTTCCAACCAAAAGGAGAGGTTCAGAATCCCTTCTATCCCCTCTAGACCCTTCCATTCACCAGCCACTTCTTCCTACCTTTGCCCACCATCTCCACCCCAGAAGCCAAGCCTCAAAACAGACTATATCTGGAAACTGCTTACCTTGTGGACAGGATGTGAAATATTTTAAACATCCTAATGCTACAACAACAGTGATCAGTGGTTTTATTTTATGTCAACACCGAAGTGTGAGGACCAAATGTAAATAGATTTTTAATCACAACATTATTTCCAGAATGGCAGGAGAATTTAATTTTAGGATTTGGGAAGAAGGAGTTATTGTTAACTATCTGAGAAGAATCAAGATTTGGGAGCAGGAAGTGAAGATTATCCAAATTAAAGATTGTGCTAATTTATTACAACCATATATACTGAAAACAAGCATGTTGGGGTAAGTGGACTGCTTCCTCCATAGCAGAGTTATGATGGCTTGGGAAGAAAGAATTAAGCCATTATAAAAAGTACAGCAACCTTCCTCCTTCCAGCCTGCCTGCGCAAAGTGACCATGCAGAACAAGCCATACCTGTACACTATCTCCATTTCAAACATGTATAAAATCCTATTTACACAGTTCTAAACTTTCTTGAGAACTACTGATTCCACTACGATCCTGGAGTCCTAAAATGTCTTATGTAATCCACTCCAACTTTTTCAATTTGCAGATGAAAAGACCGAGGTGCAGAGAGATAGAGTGACTTTCCCCAAATTTTAGAGTTTTCTGTTCCTCTCAGGGTGTAACAGGACAAAAAGTGATAATCTATGTGACTTGGGGTTGGGAGATCAGTGTAATGTAGTGTGTTTTGATCTTGGCCAACTGTGCGATCTTAAGCAATTTTATTTCTCTGAGCCTCAATTTTCTTATTTCTAACAACTGGTATAATAATGGCACCAACTTCAGAGGTTTTGTGGTAATTAAATGAGAAAACATATTTAAAGCATTGAGTACAGTGTCTGGTACCTAGTGGGTATCAACAAAAGGTATCTATAATAGGTATTTTTGTTATTGGTATTATTACTGTGCTAATAGCATAATGGTTGACAGAATAATGAAGTCAGGAGTCAAAATAAATTATAATAATGATGATTATTATCATAATAATATGAGTAACATTTCTTAAATATGTATCCGGGCACTTTAATGATTGCTTTAACTACATTATCTCACTCAGTTCTCCTAATTCTATAGATAAGGAAACTTTCCCTTAGAGAAGCTTAAAATTTTGCTCAACAGCTGACAAACGATGCTCCTAGGATATGAACCTAGGTCTCACAGACTCTAGAATTCCTGCCATTAAGCTGAATTAAGGAAAACCATCGATAGATTAAGGAAAAATAAAGAAAAGGAAAGTGTTTAATTGCATGAGTGAGGTCCTTTACTCTTTTCCCAACTAAAACAGATGAAAGCCTACATTTTAGAACAAGATGGGCCAATATCAATCACTTCACTTAACCATGTCAGACTTTTATGATAAATGTTATGGCTGAGGGTGAGGTCACTCAATGTCAGCTCAATATCCCTTTAACAGGGAGCTATAAGTCAATCCTGCCATCTTAAGATTTATCTCTGGTGTACAATAAAATTGGTTGTTTTTCTATTGATTGAGCATTTGAGATACCAAAGCTTGAGAATTCGCTGCTATTTATTTGATATGTTCCTGTGTCTGTCAAACTTGTAGGAGTGTTATCTGCTGTTTTAATGTGGCTTGAAGCTTCCCAAATCCGTCTTCCATAATTGTTTGGGTAATGTCATTTGTTTGAAAAATGGGGGTAAATTGAGGGCCCCTCTTTTCGTATTTACAGATATTAAGAGATTTTATTTATGCAAGCTGTTAACCAGGTTAATGTTGCCCACCCCATCCCGAGGGGTTAGAGTGTGGGTGAGGCATACTTCTTAAGGGTGCTCAAAGCCTCTGAAAAAGTTACATCTTCAGTAAAAAGCCCACATATTGCAAAATGTTGGAAGGACGGTGCCTTAAATTGTGAAATCTTCTGTGAGGGATCTCATTTTTCTGGAACTCCCTGACATCTGATCCCTCATGTTGCTGGAAGGATTCCAAGAGCACCATAAAATTAGGGCTGGTCCTGTCTGAACTGAGTCCAGATCATTTCAAAGTGACTCAAGGCAGGGAAATAAATATTGAACCTAGTTAAATGTTGCTTGAGATTATGCTTGGCACTGGGTGTCCAGTCACTGATTTACTCCTAGGTTACAGGGGTTATTTTGAGCCCAAATGGATGTGCCAGGGCGGATTCATTCAATGGCAGCAATTATTTGCAAGCACAGTTGCATTTCTGACATGTTTAGCGGAATGTAATGTAGAGATTTATGTGATAGTACTGGGTGGGTGTAACAGACATTAAAGTCCTCAGTTTCATGCTACTTTACTCAACCCTGGATCACATTTGGCTTTTCCCCATTCTTTTTCTCCTTTTTCTTGTCTTGCTTGAAAAAAAAAAACTGACTTTTTTTCTGTCTTTCTTTCTCTTTCTTTCTCTCTCTCTTTCTCTTTCTTTCTTTCCTTTCTTTCTCGTCCCTTTCCTTTCCTTTTAGACAATAACTTATAAGTTATGAATGAACAATACAAAATTAGAATCAAAGAGGTCAAAAGAAAGAGTTGTAATGATATTCAGCTCACCCCACTCCCACTTTAAACCACCCTAAAAATGTGGGGATAGCTACTTGGAAAAGAAATGTTTTAAATGGCCAGTTACAACTTTAAAGAAGAGATTTTGAAGCACAAGTACCCATCGTACACATGCACTATGTACAGCCACATGATTTAAGCCCTGTTGAGTTGGCCTGTGACATGTTTCATTTACGACTGATGTCGGGTCTTGTAACTCAATGCCACAAGATGGAAGTCACATGCAGTTCCAGTCCTCTGCCTCTTTTCCCTTTAGCAAGAGGAGGATACTCCCTAGTGCCACGTTTCGTCTCACTGTTTGATCTGAGGCTTTGGCTGCCGTCAAGTCCCAGCTGGGCAAGACACTGGAGCAGCATTCTGGGATAAGAGCAACCTTTGGGATCACACAGACCCACATGGGACTCCTGATCTGCACTCTATTAACTGTCGACCTTCAGCAATTGACTTAAACTCTCTGAGCTCAGTTTCCTTATCTATAAGATGGAGATGATAATAGCTCCTACCTCGCAGTACTGTTGTGAAGATTTAATGGGGTAATGCACATAAAGTGCTTGGGTCAGCACCTGGCATATAGCAACACTTACTACATGGTAGACAGCAGAACAATTCCTCAGATGTCAAACCACCTTTCTTTCTGACAGACCTGCAGACTCTGGCCACAGATGTGACCCTAGCCTCAAACCTCTACAGACCTGATCAGAGAGATGAGGTGGCTCAAAAGCTTGGCGGGGGTGGACAATAGGGACAGGTCAGAGGTCCAGCATGGCAATCAGGCAGGAACCACCTTCCCAGGACACACCCCCACTTATTGGGTTACACTGCCTGTGCTTGGTCTCCAACCCATATCTACATTGGCATGGCAAGGTACAGGGCCTTGCCAAACACAATGCCAAGCACAGACTTTATTAACTTGCCTACATCTTGAAAAAATAGACACAAAACCACAGAGTACAGATTAAATCCTGTTAGGAGAAAAATCAGTAAGAAATATCTGTTTAACAAAGCCCCATACTTAGACCATTTTCTTTCAAGAACTATTTGATCAAACTTAAGATTAGAAGCCATAATTTTCACAAATGTAAGACTGTATAGTTCCCAAAGCCTTTCCCCATACCTTATCTTATTTGAGCCTTCCCAGCAACTTTCAAGGTAAGTATTATCTCCACTTTACAGATAAGAAGCTGATGTTCAGAAAGTTTTAAGTCAAATCCAAGGTCACTCAGCTAATACCTGTTTGAGTTATTTCTTGATTCCAGATCTTCTGACCCCAGCATTCCCAGCACTACACTGTTAACCTTTTTCTACCCACTGATGACTGTTCGCCAAAACCCCTACTACCCTCACATCCCAACACTCACCTGTGCTCTCTGGCTGTGATTAGAAACCTGACCAATGTATAGGCTCCAAAAAGGGACACAAGTTAAACGAGGCATGAAAAAAATCTGATTTAAAATATGATCATGAATATGCACCATATACAAAAGAATTTAATGGAAAGAAACAGAGTCCAAGAATTTCAGGGGGACTCTTCACTCTTCTAGCTTTAAGAAGCAAACTGGACCTGATGGGTGATGTACTTTGTGAGCCAGTTAAATATCATGAAACTTTTAATCATGATACATCCCATAGACCTCAGGGAGAAAGTAGTATTCTCACCAAAGGTACAGATGAATGGGGATTTTATGAACAGAGGCAGATCAGTTCCTCTACACAGACTCTATGCTCCCGGCTACAGTGATTTATTTCTGTCCCTTCCAACCCAACATTTCCTGAGAACTCCCATGGCCCCTCTCTTTGCTAGGTGGGGAAGAAAGACCTGATCTGGTCACAGGAGCAGTGTTGGTGAGGAGAGGACGACAGACCTAGTGATGTTTCTTTCACCCTCCCCACTTCCCACCACCTGGAAAATGAAGACTGACAACTATTAATGACTCCTGGTAACCACATATGGATTATTCATGAGATAAAGCATGATTTAAACCATAGCTATGAAATGATTATTTCGTGTCCCACAGAGCCCTTCCCCAGCCAGGCCTGAAGCTATGGGGATGGAGGTGGGTGTTTGGGATGAACCAGGACTGCCACACAGAACATCCAAAGAACCCAACTTCTTGACTGTGGGGAGCACAGGCAGAGCTGATTGGACATCAGCTACTCTGGGGAACACAGGAGATTGCCTATTTTTTAGGAAATGTTCCAAAAAATTGTTTCCCCTCCTCTTTAGCCCAGAGTGAAGTAGGGTGTTTCCTATGCGGAAAGTGCAACCTCCTCCGGCCCCTTAACACAGTGAGAGAAGGCTCAGCACCACATACTCGCTGAGCTAACTGAACCGATGGTGCTCTCCGTAAGTGGCCACTAGACTACAACTGGGGTCAACCGGAGCATGCCCAGTGACATCTGCAGATCCCAAGATATGATTTCATTAACTGCTGTGGATAAATCAGTTGGGCATTTGCTGGCAGTGTTTAAAATGCCATGACGGGTCAGATTAGAAAGTTGCTAGCACTGTAAGTCCAAAGGTGACCCGAGGAGGGTTCTTGGCTTCTGCCAAGGGTAAGATCCCACAGCTGCTTGAGCTGACTCCACCAGAACAAAGTGAGACCTCTGCCAGCAGGCCCATCGTTCCATCTAGACAGGTGTGGCCTCCTGCCACCACCAGGACACACATCTGTAATACAACCAGAGACAACCAAGGTACCCTGGGCTGGAGGCAGGGCAGGGGTAACTGCAGTCTCAGAACCTACTTCCCAGGATGCTTGACAAAGTTCTCCCCCACAGGTGCTTCTCCTCTCTGGAGTAGTGTAATGATGAAAGACAGGTATTGGAAGTTGAACTACCAAGGTTTGAGTCCCAGCTCTGCCCACCAACTACGTAATCATGAGAAGGTCAACCCCTCTGAATCTCAGGTTCCTCCTCTGCAAAAGGGAATAATAAAGCTCCTATTTGGTCCTGTAACGTTGTTGTAAGGATTAAAAGACATGATTGGTGCAAAGAGTTAGAATAGTGAGTCAACACGAAGTCATGTTTCATATTATTTTTCATTTAGGGTCCTCCATCTTCCCCTTACCCTGGAGACCCATCCTGTCTGCTCTAGTGGGGTAGTGCCTTGTTCTCTGGGATGCTCCTCTCTTTACTCTGAAAGAGACCAAATCACCAGTCCACACAAAGCTTAATGTGTTGTTCTCAGGAGCATTTGTATTCAATAAGAGGGTGGAACTTTAGCTACAAGGAGCAAACTCCTAGAAGGAAATTTCCAGTTTTATTGGTCTGCAAGTAGAAAAGGGTTATTTGCATCACATAGGAGAGTATTGAAAAGGAGGCGAGGAAGTAGGCTAAGGCCTCATAACCTGGACATTGATTTCAGGATAAGAAGTGCATATATAAGAGGTTTCATAGGTAGAGTCGAGAGCAAGAATAGGAGAAAGTTTTTAAGAAAAAATAGGATTGAAGGGGAACAAGTGTTGCCATGTGGAGATCCTGCTTGGAGCACTCACTAGCCTAGAGCCACCTTGCCATGGGATGGACCTGCAGCCTCTGGAGTCCTTGGTAAGGGATGGCTGAGCTGAGCTGAGTGTTCACTTTCCTGTGCTTCTTACATTTCCTAAGGTGTAGGCAACCAGGAGATGCCTTGTTCTCTACAATTTTCTGGGACCAACACAGCCACATCTATTATCCCTTTGTCCTTCCTCACCTTCCTTGCATCTCTTCATACACATTCACATACACACACACACACACACACACACACACACACACAACCGTTTCCAGGTCTGAGAAAAAGGTAATAGACAACACACAAACTCTAAGAATCAAATGCAGACATGTGAAGCTGGCCAGGTGCAATCATACATGCCCTCAGGTAAGGCATGATTTATCACCAAAGTCCCCACCTCCTTTGCTCTCTGAAAACACTCTGCCTTCTTGCAGATGGATGGTGACAGTCCCACTCCTTTCTACCTCATACTGAGGCCACCTTGAGCATGTGGCTGGCCATGCAGCCTTGAAAAGTATAAATGACCCCAAAGGACTAAAATAGAATGGGGAAAGTCAGGCACTCCAAAGCTGCAACATCACCCTCTGGCAGTTATAATTGCTCCCCTGCAGTGAGGGAATGTCCCTGCCCACTACTCATCAACCAGGTAGCTCCTGGAGGGCTCAAGTTCCTGGTGGAAGGGGCTTGGCCTGTTTCAACTAACTTCACGCAGCACAAAGTCCAGCCCATCTCTCTGTAGCTCTGGGCATTTAACAAATGTTTTAATGATGATGATGCAACCCTTTCAGCTTAGGTCTGTCAGGGTCCCCTGAGAAACATATATTATCTGAAGCTTTCCCTTTTGCTTAATTACATTGTACTAATGTTTTTTCCACTAGATTTCTCCTCCCCCAACTCTCCCATCCAAATCCTGCTTCACTGTGGGTTGGATTTACATAAAAGGCCAGCACATTATAATTGTGATGATTGATCACTGAAGTTTCTTTGGGTTCAGATTGTTTCCTAATGTGGGTCATTTTTCATCATAAAGAGTTGGCTGATAATGATGTCATTTCCATTGCTTGAATTTTGAGGCAGTGGCCACATATCACAGAGTTTAAATGACTGTCTATAGGGCAGCAAAATCATGTCGTTATCAGTTTAAAGCAGTTGCTGCTTTACTCCTGGGGACAAAACAAGAATTGGAGCCTCCTAAAACTCATCAAACAAGAGCAGGATGCCAGGAATACAAATCTGCAACTGGGCCTGGGAAAGGAGCAGCAGGAAGGAGGGGTGGTGGTGAAGCAAACCTGTTTTTGCATGAGGCTGTGTGGTAAGTATCAGATAAAAATGACAAAGTCATACTTGACAGAAAATAAGCTGTATTGCTGATCACTGGATACCTTAGATGTGCTCTCCTACAATCCTTTAACTGTGATTTCACAGCAAGATTAACGAGCAAGAATTGAAATCACGCACGAAGAGAAGCTTTGGACTAAAACCCATCTGCCGGATAAGTCAATAAATGTCCCTGTCATCAACTGCTTGGGACTGGGATGGAGCTGGAATATGGCCCTAATGTTGCATGTGTAAAGTATGGATATAAAATGAAATGATGTTACATGTGTGTTTAAAACAAATAACTGCATTGTTAAAATCCCAAGGCTTGCAGACCCTAAATCACTGTGAATGAGCTGCTGCCCCAGATGCTCTGTTTTCTGCTATTTTCCTCCAGCCACCTTCCCATGTGGCATGTCCTTCTGAACCCGCTAGGATGCCCTGCAGATGTTAAAAGTGTATAGTACAGCCCCAGCCCTGTCTTCCACAGTCTTTCTCATGCAACCCAGCATCCCTTCTGCAACTTCTTTTCCAATACTGTAACTTGGAGAAAATTGCAAGAACAGTAAAATGAACACCCATATATTGTTCACCTACATTCACTGTTTATTGTCCCAGATATGCTTTATCTCTCTATATATATATGCACACACTTTTTTTTTGTTTAATCATTTGAGAATTCATTGTGTTAGCTTCCCATGCTTCAGGACACTTTCCTCCTACATACTTAGGTAAGTATCTCAACAGAAAATTTTCCTCATTTCATATCATACTCCAGAAATTTCACATTGATATAATACTCTTCTCTAATATGGTCTTTTTAAAGTTCAATTGTCCCTACACAGTTTTATGCAGCTGATTTAAGTACATACATAAACACACACACCCACACACACCTGCACACGCACACACACGCCTCCAGGGTTTAATCAAAGATCTTAGATTGCGTTTAGCTGACATGTTTGCTTTTTCATTTGTTTATTTTGTGTTGTGGTGTTGAATTGGTCCCAGCAGTATCAATATAAACTTATTTGTATTTCAAAAATTTATTTCTTAGGAAGATGGAGATATGTCAAGAAGACATAGGATTCATCCTGAAAGGATTCCCACTAGGAAAACTGGGATAATTTAAACATCAAAATGACAAATGACAGAAGTGGTTATAACATATTAGAGGAAACAAATATATATTCTGATATTTTGAAAAATCAAGGTGGGAAGAAGAATGAAACACTCCTCTTTACAAAAGAATACCAACTAATAAATGAGTAGGAAATTTAGAAATAGAAAATTGTCATTTTGTAACCATCATAGTGATAATTAATTCAGGCAGGGGCCATTATATCCCAGTCCGCATTTGTATCTTTCTTTTTCCACAGTAAGAATACAGGTTCCCAACAACCTTGTTACATTTACCCATTTGCCGGGTCCTGCAAATGGAGTTAAGTGGAGTTTAAGATTTCCATACAGTTTCATTTTTATTCTTAGAAAATGTTATGTTAGGTTGTGCAATCAGCACACTCTGTTCGAAAGTGACTTGAGTAATTTTTCTAATGTGTGATTTTTATCTATTTCATATAATTTTGATTTTTTTCTGTTTGAATTCAATTTCCATCTTTTTCTCATTTCTTAATTTTATTTTTTGGAAATGTAAACCTTTAACACACTTTGAAACACAAAACCAAATCAAAAGGGATCACCAGAGAAGTTCTGTCTTCTTCCCTACATGTTGCATTTGGTTCTCACTGATTCCTGGAGATAACAAATTTCATTCATTTCTAGCTTAATTTCCTTCTGTTTCTTTCTTTCTTTTTTTTTTTTAAGAAAAATAAGCAGATTCACAGACAACTTTTTAAGCCATTAATATTTGTGTCCTTTTTGTAACAATTGCTTTGGAATTTTGGAAAAATATATGAGAAAATTCCAAAAGATGAAGTCACCCCAAGAACATACATTTTCATTTCCTGCTTAGAGTTAAGGGAAGATTTTTTGTTTAAGGGAGGATGATAGAGGCCAACCTAGTCACTGGATTTAGGGGACTAACCACTATCAAATTCCCCAAAATCTGTATTTTTTGGTCTCAGTAACAAATAAAAAAGCAACCAATTTGACCCCATACTGATTCTCTTGTTGATATGATCAAATTAACCAGCCCAGAAATAGCACTTCCTAG